TGAGAATGTAACGTTTTTACGGCTCAAAAGGCGCGTAGGCCCTTAAGTTTAAAAGTTTTTTTTTCTTAAATTCCGAACTACTTTAATAAGTATAAAACAACAACTGATAAATCTTTGTCCCATTCCTTTACACCTAAAGAGAAAGAGAGGGCAAACATAACCTACTAATTATACCAGATTCTTGTCGCTTTAAGCGTTTGTCTCCAGAACCGCCACAGGAGATTGTTCAAAGTAATTTATTTGTGTAACCAACCCTTACTCGACCGCCCCAGAGATAAGCATGTGTACTGTGTTTGCTTAGGAGCATGCCCGTGGTTTGTACCTCCATTTACAACTCTGAATATAATATTAACTATGGCACGTAGTGCTTTGTTTTAATACAAAATTCTAACAAAAGAATACGTTTCAAAATTCGAACAGCGTGAAAAGTTAAAAATTTTTAAATACATTTCGTTTGTATACTGAAAAAAAAATTGATTAGTTAATTACAAAGCATAATTATTAACCTCTTTGGTTGTAAATAGGTGCTCAGCTTGGTGCTGTGTATCAACTAGTTAGTTGGGTAATTCTGTGTTAGCTAATAACAAACACAAAACGAATTTAGTTTCGCAAAAGTCAAATACCTATCTTCCAATTTTTGTCCAATCCAATGTCCGTGTTTTAGATTACTTTAAAAAATATTACTTTATTTTCCTAATGAATCAATTCCTTTTGACTATAGATGGATTTAAATGAAATATCGTGTGATATAACTTATAACTAAATTGATATAATACATTTCTGAAGCAGACGTAACGACCTCGACTCCTTTTAAATTGGTTTTCAAATCAAATCAAATTCTTTATTTCAAGTAGACCACAACAAAAAGCCCTTTTAATAAAATAAAGATTTAAAAAAAAAGAAGACCACAACAGGCACTTTTGAACGTCAAGCAAAAAAAGATATCATAAGGTTTAACCTTACATGTGTCAGTCTGTCCGTCTGTCCTCTAGTGAAGCTATTTGTTCGTTCCAAAGTGCAGATTCCTACGGAGAAGAACGAGCAAGAAACTCCATGGTTTTATCAAAATATTTTTCTTTATTGTCTAACTGTTTTATTAAAAGGAGAACCATGCTTCGTCACGAACGCGCTCCCTTGACCGGAGTGATACCACAGCATCACAAAAAAACCAGCGTGTAACAATCATAGCGTTGTGTTTCGCCATGTGAGTGTGGTTACCGGTTACTGGAGGCCCATTTCTATCTTTCTCCATGATTTGCCAGTTTGTCGAACACATCATAAAACTAATAGATATAACACAGGCTCCATGTTTAAACAATTTATTTCTTTGATTCTTCTTTTAGTCTATTTCTACTACTAGTATCATAAATATGCTGTGTATTAACGTATATGTACGAATAAATATTTCATGGAAAGGAGCTATTTATAATGTTAGTGTTCCGAATGAGTTAAATGAGTTATGTTGTTGGTACATATAAGAAATTGATATTATCGTTCGAACTGCGGGTGATTGTGCGGTCAATGACATCAAGGGCAAGACTACATATCGATTGAAGGTAGATAGGTACTTATATGTTTTTGCATTGGGAAGAACTATGATTAGATTTTATACTTACATATGTGTATTTAGTTATAAGCGGCTTTCATGGCCCAAATGTTAATATTTTCATTCAGCTTTTTCCTATCAAATATTTTTCCCGCCCAGGGTAAGGCGAGAGAGAGTGTCAGACCCTTAATGACTAAAAACCCGCCCGTTCCTTTTCGTGCTTCAGGCCTCATTGCGCTTACCCCGCAAACCCGGCTGAACATCAGCCCTGCAGGGCTCTGTCTGCTAGGATGATGACTGATATCGTTATCATTTGAGCCTTACCTACATTGAATATCTTTTTTAAAGAGTAAAGATGGAGTTTCATGTTCATTCTTCTCCATTCAAATTTACACTTTGGAACGAGCACCTAGCTTCACAGACGAACTATATTTTATTTTTACGTTTCAAAAGTACCTGTTTATGGTTTAGTTGGAGTAAATTATTTTGACTTTGACTTTGAAAGATGGTTCGGATCATCTAAAGTAATTGGCGCAGCCCAACGACACCTTAAACAACAGTTTTCTCTTTATTATGTTTAGAGACTTTTCTACCGTGTATATGTCGGTCCCATCGTTCCTTATAATCTACTTAAACCTACTAAATTTAAATAGTGGTACGTTGCTGGCTTTTTTAGAACGGAAAAATTATGTAGCATAAAACACATGTTCCATAACTTCCGTACTTCATAGAGAGTAACTGCTCAAGTATTACGCTACATTAAGGCTATATAATATGGCCCTACTCCTAATACAAATTCAGCAAGGAGAATCAGAGAAACTATACAAAAATGAACCTTATTGCTAGTAGCAAGCAAGTTGCCTATCAATCCTACACAGTTGTGGGCTTGCATTTGCACCCGTCTATCCAGGCAACCGTGAATCCAATTCCCAAATTCGGCTATATACAAATTCTGAACAACACACGTGAATGATGAATGATAGGAACTATGCTTTGGGATACCGCATTGTCTACGGAACAGATTCTGTTCAAGGTTTAAATGAGTAAAATAAATACTAACCTACTACTTAAAAAAATAAGCTACAAATATTTAGGGCTGAGTTTTCAATACGCAGATAAAAGTTATCTGAGGGAAAAAAATGGTGCTGTCATTGTCTTATACACACATTCTGACGCGACACCATCATAATTATTCCCCAGGTAACTTTTATCTAACTTATGAAAAATCAGCCCGCACAGCAAAAATAAAATAAACTATCAAAGAGCATCGAAAAACTGCTTATCGTTTGTCATGTTGTAGATTGCCCAAAAGACTGTCAGCCTTTTCACTTTAAATTAAATGGCAATGTTTACTAACATTTACCAGCCTTCCGATCACTTAAACACCTTTTCTACAATAACTTTGTACCTACAGAAGATGTGAGCTTGGGCACTAACCGATGAACGACAAGGTCTTGAATAAATAAAAAACTAAGTAACTGACCGTCAGTTCCTTTGCCACAACACCCCAATTTTTCGAATTTTTTGAAGTCTCAAAATCTGATTAATAACTCTCCTCTAACGAACCCAAATCTTTACCATTATTGAATGAAATTACCGCCCACAGAATAATTAACGGGGATCGCAAATACCCTCAACTTATCGAATCCATATCTCAACATTAACATAGCAAAAGATATTTGCATTTAAAGTAGTATATCCACTAACTCACTAATACATTTTGCAATTAAATTCTAATGACGTCATAGAAATTTCGTTTGAAAGCATTTGAGTCGCACGGCCATCTCAAAAGCGGTTCCCTGAGAATTAATTAAGCAGCGACCGGCAAACGGGCCCCTGATTACAACGATACCCACAACTCACCTAAAGTTCATTTCTCTCTGGTAGACCCCTTTGTAATAAAATTCTGGGACCTCAAAATCGTTGGAGCGGTTAAGGGTTAGTTAGGTGCATGCTTGATGAACTAAGTTTTGTGTTTTTTGTTTGGGTTCATTAGAACGTTTGTTTTTGAAGGAAAACAATGGTTGTTTATGTCTTTGATAATGGTTAAGGTCGGGTGTGAATGACTGGATTCTTCTTCTTCACGACACATTACTTTTGTTCCAGCCCGTATTCATAATACGACACTTAACTTCTGTTCTAAACCAGGCCTTTTTTATTTATTTATTTTTTGTCAGGGGAAAATCATCCAATGACTTCTCCCGCCCAGGCGAGAGAGAGTGTCAGACTTTTACTGACTAAAAACCTTCCGTTCCTTCTCCTGGTCTAGGCCGAGGTCGCGGTGCCTCATTGCGCTTACCCCGCAGCCCCGGCTGAACGTCAGCCCTATTGGGCCTCGTTATTGGAACGCTACGCGCCGTACGCTCGGATCTGGTTCTGGTCGGGCGGCGAGCTACCTTTACTCGCCGTCGGGAGACCAGCGCTTACGGTGGCCAGAGATCATCTCTCGATCCCCGATGGCTGGAATGTCGCCTACTGCGGCGGCTGGGGCGCGAGGAGAATAGTTCCCTCACGCGCTCCGCCTCCTCCTTTGTAGTTATGCTCGATAACTGCTTCGCAGAAGGAGAAGATAGCTTCCTAGTTCCTCTACCTATGAGTCATGGCCTCGATTAAGGCCGGGCGCGAGAAGTCGCCACCGCCAATCACTTCTCACGGCGGTGCTCAGCCCAAGCAGGGCACTCCGCCACCGTGTCCTCTAAGTGGTCCTCACAATGACGACAATCAGGCGTTTCCACCCGCTGGATCCGGAGCAGGAACCTACCGAAGCTGCCGTGCCCGGTAAGCACCTGCGTCAGGCGGAAGGTGAGGACGCCGTGGCGTCTCTCAAGCCACTCCTCAAAGAGGGGTCTTACCGCTGCTATAACTGCGTGCCCGGACCTCGGTGTTCTAAACTAGCCCTGAGAGACCAGTATATTCAGTTTTCATAATGTTTTGTTAAATGAAGTTATCAGATAGTAGTGCCTACAGCGCTGGTATTACTGAGTTTATAGCAAACTAGCTATGCCCTGCAGTTTCACTTGCGTGGTTTATAGCCTATAAATATTCACCGAAGATAGTATAGTTTCCCATCAGTGAAAGAACCGAATCGGTCAAGCTGTTTAAGAACTCATTCAATCTCGCTATATACAATCGTTTAATATCTCACGATGGTTATAATACAAAAATTGGTTTATTTATAGATATCTATATAGACACATATATTTAATGAACGTAGTAATTAGGCATGTAATTTTCTTTGAAAATAACATAAATCACTGATAATATTTTCTTGTCCACACACAAATTAAAAGTAAATATATATTAGCAAGGACCGATACTAGCATTTATAAATAACTCATTGAACTTTATGATGATGCCACCTTCCATCTTAGGCCTTTAAACTGCTGTTTAGAGCCAAGCAGAATTACGTACAAAAGACAAACAAATAGGTATAATTTGTAGAAAAAAAACTCACCATATTATATACATTCTCCCAATAATCGAGGGTGATAAGTTGGAATGTGGTGAGCATGGACCATAGGAAGTTGTCGAAGTTCGTGTACCCATGGTTCGGGTTGGGGCCCACACAGAGACAGGTCCACTCCGGGGGGCAATGCCGGGCCCCTGTCAGGTTGCCACAGATTATAGGCACCTCGTCCGCATTCACCATCCAGTTTGATGGCTCTTGAATCCACCTGTGGAATAAACAAAAACCGTATGATTTTCACAACTTGACTACAGAATAACTATTAATTAGAAAACCTTTTTTAAATGATTTGATGAATGTCTACTTTCACAGTCACCTATAAACTAGTTTAAAAGATAAGCATTGGTATGTTTTATGTTTATAATTATGAATAAAAAATATTTATTTATCGAATAAAATTTAAAAAAGAAACTCAATTTAAACATCGGTCCCATAACAATTTCCATATTACTGTTTTTTTTTTATTAATTTAACTTTTTTATTTTACACCAGCTTAGTGCAAGAACTTTATTACTTATTGTTACTACTTTTTGAATTAATTTCCATGAAATAATAATCAGAAATATCTGTATTTGACTGCCCGGACTTCATAAAGTCCACTTAAGTGTAAATACTTGAACAACTCAACAAAAGTCCCTTCATTACATGCTTCTCAGAGTAACTCATAATTCAAAATGGCGATTATCGTTTTTACAGCAATTGATCTCGGAAAGTTGGTGGGAAGATAAACCATTGTTTAAAGTTCATTGGACTGGAAATTATTTATGTGGCTCCGTTACAGTTTAACTAACAAAGTTTTAAAGTTAGTTTTAGTGCAGTTTGGTGCTGAAAATAATAGTGAATGTTTACATGATTGCATTAAATTTTATTGTTGTCGAAAACTAAAATCGAATTTAATATTTTCTAACCTAACTTACAAATAGGATAATTTTATTTCAGATTTCCTAATATTTTATAATAAATAATGATTACCTATTAATAAATTCCGCAAAGGCATTGAATTGAAAGGCATCAAAACTCTTTCATTTCAAATCTCAATCTTTTATTTTAAATTTCAAATAAAGAACACTTTTTAGCAACCAGTATTTTAAAAGTAAAGTTGTGGCCTCGTTGGTTTACAAACTGTTCTTTTTTATTTGATTTCTGTGTTGTTTAAAACTTTGCATGTTTTGTAGCAGAGAAGACAGCATAATTATGTGATATGTTTAATTTCGTAAATTGTATGTAATTTAAGGTTTACTTACGCTGACCACGCTTCATCCGTGAAGTTCTCCCCCGGTGGAATGACGAGGTTCTTCACGCATTTATTCCTAAGTTCCCCCATGTAGACCTGCAGTGCGAACAGCGCAAACACCATCAAACAGAAGATGGTCAACGTCATTACTTCCGCGAGCTGCTTGAACGAGTGGAGCAGTGCGTTGATGATGGTTTTTAGACCTGGAGGAAATAAAACCTTATTTAACAAGATGGCATACTGACATACGGTGAAGGAAAACATCGTGAGGAGTAATTATTAGTTTGAAATCGCCAATCCGCTTCGAGCAAGCGTGGTGATTTAACGCTCAAACTTTCTCTGAGGAAGAAGAGGCCTTTACTCAGCAGTGGTATCTTGTAGGCTGATGACGTGCTAATGTGATTTAAGAAGATAACAAACACAGATTTTGGTTTTATTTATAATTACCTAAGTTTAAGTATACCTACATGTATGTATTTGCGTACAGTCCACAGACAAGTAAAGAGAAAGCAACTATTGTTATATGTCGTGGTGGCCTGGAGGTTAAGGAGCCCGCTTCTCATGCATGAGAGTGTGGGTTCGAAACCTGGCAAGTACCAATGTGACTTTTTCCGAGTTATATGTACTTTCTATGATTATTTAGACACCATTGACACACGGTGAAGGTAAACATCGTGAGGAAACCTGGACTTATAATTTCTAATTGTAAGTTTGAAATCGCCAACCCGCATTGAGCAAGCGTGGTGATTAATGCTCAAACCTTCTCCGTGTGAGAAGAGGCCTTTGCTCAGCAGTGGGCACTTATAGGCTGATGATGATGAACTATTGTTATACGGAATGATTTTAATGAAGACATTTCTTTTGTTACCATTAATCAGTTTTATTATCAGAACTGTGAAGGAGTGGAATTTTTTGCAGGAGTCTGTGTTCTCTAAAAGGTATAACCTGGGTGTATTCTAGGCACGAGTGAATAGGTTACTTGTGGGTAGACGTGGTCCATCTATTCGTAATATACGATAGATAGTATGAACTATTATTTTATGATTTCTTCAGCTTAAATGACAAGCTTGTTAATTCTAACCACACACGCGCTCTCAATAATATTTGTCCTTTCTGTAATATAAGTATAGGGACCTCTTTTTAAGTAATGAGTATCAAGTTGAATATTTTATAAGAAAAAAAAATCTGTTGGGCCAACATCTTTATTAGCCGTCCTTTGATCCCAATCTTGAAGTTTGCCGTTGAGGCTCTTAATAAGTAAGATAAGGTTTAATGACTCATTAAATAACAGTCTTTGATGTCCTCGTATTGTCCTGCTCACTCTTCTTAAAAAAGTATATGCTCTCTCTTTCGTTTGTTTAGGAGATTTTCTCGTGAGAGTATGAAGTATCCGTTAAGAATTTTGTTTGTTTTGAAAGTAGAAAGGTTTGTTGCTAAGAAATTTATATACCTAATGAACTAGCTGACCCAGCAAACGTTGTTTTGCCATATAAATTACTAGCTTCCGCCCGCGGCATCACATGGTACCTATACTGATAAAAAGCCTATGTCCTATTCCGGAGTGTATCCTAAGCCTGTACCAAATTTCATCCTGATCCAGATAACAAACATCCCAACACCCAAACATCGTAACTTTCGCATTTATATTATCTTTCTTACTTTGTGACTCATAGCTTATCTTATACGTACAACTCATTTGGTATAGGTACCAACATTTTTAAAAATAACGTAACTGGATGAACCTGCTTGGTTCAAGCCACAACGGGACTCTTATTCGTAAACAAGGCATGCGGCGTGTTTAAGACGTTATCCAAACTAATAATATAAATGCGAAATGAACTCTGCCTGTCTGTCTGTCTTTTCTTCAAGACTAAACTACTGAACCGATTTCTCTGAAATCGGAAGTGTGGGAGAGCCATGCTTCGGCACGAATGGGTCGGCTCGACCGGAGTGATACCACGGCCTCACAAAAATAACCACAGCGTTGTGTTTCGCCGTGTGAGTGAGGTTACCGGAGGCCCAACCCTTCCCCTCCCCCAATCCCTCCTATATCCCTAAATCTCCAAATCCCTAATCCCTAAAAGGTCGGTAACGCACTCGTAACTCCTCCGTTGCGAGTCTCCATTGGCGGCGCTGATTGCTTACCATCAGGTAATCCGTCTGCTCGTTTGCCGACCTATTAAATAAATAAAAAAAAATTTGGTACTGACATAGTTTGAAACTCCAGAAAGGACATAGTATAGTTTTCAAAATAAACTATTCCACCCGAAAGGATTTGCGGGCAAAAGCTAGTTATCAATATACTTAGTATGCCTTACTATAGCTAATTATACAAAATATAACGAACTTACTTTAAAATAAAATGAGATCTATAGTCAAACTCACCTGGCATTATAGAAACAGTCTTCAATGCTCTTAGCACTCTAAAGGTCCTTAGACCAGCCAGGTTTCCCACCTCCATGCCGATGGTGGCGTAACCTGAGGTGATGACGACGAAATCCAGCCAGTTCCAGGGATTCCGTAGGTATGTATACTTATTTAATATGAAACCCTTAGCTATACACTTTATTATCATCTCCGCCGTGTAGATCGCCAGGAAAATGTACCTGGAACAGAGGAAATTGTGCTTAGTTTGGTTTTCTGTAAAGTTTAAATTCGTATGCACATTTGGTTATGACGTTAGGGTTAATTGAATGCCCATATTGTTGTTGTAATATAAAAAAATATTATGTTTAATGTACATAATTAGATCCAATTATTATTAGCTTTCAATCTTAGTTTCAATTTCTTTATTAAGCAGTCAGTCAAATTGTCTCCTAATGCACCTCGATTATTGAAGTTAAATTTTTTGGGAATTTCCTCAATATAGGTTCTTAGTTAGTGTTTAATATTATATAGTTTAATCATGTATTTATTACCTAATTAGAATTATAACGAATATATTACGAATAGTTGATGATTTATGATCCTTTTCTAAGCGAAATTTTATATTTATATCAGCATATTTAGTTGTTCAAGTTAGTGAAATAGGTTTTGTTGAGACATAAGTATTAAATGAAGAAAATAATCTAGTCTGAATTATGGACGAAACGATTTAACTTATGACGTACTGAAAACTTTTCCCTTCACGAAGTTCCGCAGAGGTCAACCACGACTTCCTTGAAGTTATTTATATGCATTAACATTCTCAATATTTTGTTAAGAAAGTTTGTTAAAATAAATAACAATAGCTTCGCGTGTTCTTCCGCCAAGAACATCGTTACAAGTGACACAATGATTAATATTTAAAAAAAAAGATTGAAGGCGCCATGTTAAAAATTTTGCGTTGTGTTTTGTTTTTTCTACTTCGTCTAAATTTATTTATGTTAAAAATGTTTTCCATTAAAATAGGTTGTTGTGACCTCTTTACAAGCTAAAGACGGGAAGTGATAGGAACAATACCTAAAACAGAAAAAAGTTGTTCGTGGGTGAGTTTATATTACTTTTATCATTTATTACAATTTTGTTGCTTCAAACAATTTGTTTACTTCCTTAGAGGGATATCAAACTCAATTTATATGCAACCACCTGCTAAGTTTGGAGATTATAAAACATTTTTATTAAGATGACATTAATTGTGTGTTTAAGTGTGGGAATGCTATGCTTTGGTAGGAAGGGGAAGTTCACACTGTGAGGGAGGTTACACAAGGTCCAATCCTTCTCCTCCTTCACTCCCTTCCCAATTCGCAAATGTTCGGAACAATCATCCCCAAAAGGCCGGCAAGGCACTCGTAACTAACCATTGCCGACGCCGATTGCTTACCATCAGCTAATTCGTCAGCACGTTTGCTGTCCTATCACGACGCTTTAGTACGACATGGCAGGCCCGCTGATCTTAGAGATTGAATATTGGAAAGAATCTATAACAAAAAACTGACCTTAGAGATTGGGATAGGTACAACCTTTTTTGGTATTTACAGGTATGTAAAGGCCCAAAACTCAGTCGAAGACCGTCACCACACAGGCTGTTTAAATACGTTGAAGAAAGAACAAAAAAGAAGAAAGAAGAATCTAATCTTATCTTTGTTTCCTTAATTAAAACTCATGTAAGCTATGTGACGAGTTCCAAAATATTGTTTCTCTTTATAGGCACATATGTTGCTATCTCTATAATCCTCTAGCCTTTAAGGTACACGAAGGGTTCGACCCTTCTATAGTACGGAACCATATGCGGCATCATATTCCACATGTTAATTAGCATTTGTAAGCTGAGATATTATAATCACTCTGGTATTCCTGACTTGCGGAGTGTTATTTTAACTTGATATGGTTATCTATGTGAATGGTTTTATGCGGGTAATGGTTTTGAATTTAGTTAGTAGCATGGTCTTGCCCATTTTTGATGGTGTTGATGCAAAAAAGCAGATTGATCGCCTAATAGTAAGCAATTGGCGTCGCTCATAGTCATTCCGGGAGTTAGAAATATGTTGTACGCCGTTTGGAGATTGTTAAAAAATTCCCATTAGGCGTTGACGATGAAATGGGGAAAGATTGGGCCTCTGTTAACTTTACTCACAGGGCGAAACACAACGGTGTGGTTATTTTACGTTGGTTGTCTGTGACGATCTGATCCATTCTTGCTGGAAATTAGCTCTCCCACATTTTCTAAGAATCATCATCATCATCATCACCATCATCATCATCATCAGCCTGATTACGTCCACTGCTAGACACAGGCTTCCTCAATTGCTCTACTGAGCTCGATGTTCAGCTCATCTCATCTAACCACGAAATGCAACGAAAAATCTGATGCAAAATAAAATTTCAAATACCCAATGAGAATTCCAGTTCGAAATTCGAAATTAACTAATCTAACATTCAATTAATTAGAATGATGTCAAGGCTAAGAACTATAAGCAAAATCGAAACTACGAAAACATTAATACGAAGGAACAGTTATAAATGCACCAATACATCAAAGCTACATTTCAGTTAGCTAAACCATGCGAGTATTTAATTGTTTCCCCTTCATTCACCGTAATAAACGATTGTTTCCACGAAAATACTTGTTTGTGTCGTAACCTGTACTTCCTAGGCTGGGTAAATAGACATGCAATGCCGTCGTTAACCGTACAGGCATCAGAACCCGACTAATGAAGGAGCCGACTTTTCCCGCGCTTCTACCTACGTCACTTAGCTGTAATTTACTTTCCTACACCGGATTATAATGTGGGCTGCCGCAATTTATCATCAGTGTTGAATAGGCGACTTAGTTTGTAATATTTTGTAGGGCTTTTTATAAAATGTTAAAAGTTGACAATAATTATTTTCATTGTAAATAGAAAAACAGCGGGAAATTGATTGTTAACTACTTTTTTTTTTTTTTTGGAGTTTATGGCCTGGATACGAGTCCTTTAAGCCAAATTGTTAACTACTATTACCTATCGAACTACAGATAATAAATCGACGACTGATTTCTGCGAATTTTATGTAAAAAGATTTTTATTTTGTCATTTCATTCATCATATTGGCTGTTAGAGCTAAAAAAGAATGTAGCAGCTATAAAATAGTCGAAAAAAAATAAAATAAAAATTATATGGCATCTTATATTTTTTTCGTAAAAATTGGCCAGTTAGATTAGTAAAAAAATAATATTATAGCAATGAGTTTTATATGGATAATTTACTTTTGTATTGTTGATACTTTTTTAAGAACTATTTTACCTTTCTGGCACGCATATTACTTTTTTATTGGTTTAGGTAAGTCATTGTAATGTTACGTTTAGTTTTTTCTAATAAACACAAAATTGTATGAGTCGGTATTTATCTTCAATGAAAGTTGTTTAACATATTATTATCTTATGTCACAAAATTGTTTCTTACTTATGATATCTTATCAAAGTTCATAGTAACCACTAGCTGTGGTAGTGTAAGAACCACAAGCAGTGATGTGCCTAAAGTGTGCGGTATTCGCGGTACTGCGGTATATAACTGAATTACTTATGGCACTGGATTCGTATAGCACGAGAGAATGTAATTATACTGAGATATGTAAGACACACTAACTCTAACCAAGTCTACGGGTGTAGAATTTCGGGTATGAATTTCGTTAAAGGATTTTAATTTAAATAATTATGTATACATGTGATAAAAGTAGTTATTTTTGTATAAAGTTTTATTAAAAATCTTTTATGATAGACTGGTAGTACTATCACTTTAACGTGAATGCTTATATTACCCCTGAACATGTTGAATTCCAATGTTACTTATTATATAGGCCCAAAATTTCTATCTTCTAGTCGTTGTAGTCACTAGATGGCATTAGTGTAGTTAGGAAAAATAATGTCAAAAGATTTTGAAATTAGAACATTATCTGTCGTAAATACAGGATCCTCACGCTACATTAACACATTCTGAGTTGGATGGGCGACGTAGCCGTGACGCGCACGCTGCTTGAATAAGAGTCCCGTTGCGACTTGAAACTAGTACAGCTTTTCTCAGTTAATTAACGCGAATAAGTGGTTATTTTCAATAACTTAACATAGTAGAGTAAAATAAAAACAGTCACTATTATTTCTGCACAGATAATACCGAAGCATTATGACGGAAAATCTGCGTTAACTTATTTCAAAGCGAAGAAAGTCAGTACAATTTAATTAAAACGAAACAAAATTTAAAATTGAAATATAGAACGAAATATTCTTGAACGTTTTAATGCAATAGAGTTTTATAGTAAATCTTTGTTAACTTTATTAGTTACCGGGTAAGAGCTGTCGGCAACTGTTTCACTTTATCATAGTAGTTTTGTTAAATAAACTTTACAAATGTGATATATAGTCTGTGGCCCGCTTGGGACACTTCGCCGTTGTCCTAAGAGAATGCTTAAGAACAATATATGTTTGCTATTTTTAGTAAAAAGAATTGTGATATACGCTTTTAATTATTAGTAAATTATTGTTAATTTTGATATGAAATAATTGGAAAAGGATTACTTTTTGTGTCGTAGGAAAATTAAGTGTGGTAGAGCCATGATTTGGCACAAACAGGCCTGTGTAAGTAAAAGGATTCTACGACTCCTCAAAAATATTGCGTGAGTCAACGCTTGCGATATATGTCGCCCTATATAAGTGAGATTACTGGAGGTAGTATCCCACTCACTTACTTCTCTGATGCTGCGGGTATAAATGGACCTCTGCGATTCATCCTGTAACTCAACCGAAGTTTTCGGGTCAAGCGCAACATCTAACGTGTTGCGGCCTTGGCTAGGAGCAGGAGGAGAAACGGGTCGGTTATTAGTCAGTAGGAGTCTAACACTCTCTCCAGCTCCACCCAGAGCAAGAGAAGCCATTTGAAAAAAAAGCTATACTCATACATTTAGCTATTCATTTATAAATTATAGAAGATTTATGTTTCAAAAAGCAGGTTTTATGCAAATGGTACGTAATGGTAAGAGGCTCTATTTCCCGTCTGGAAAGTTGAGCTTGAAACAAAAGCTTCTTCCATGGCATATTATCGTTAACTTTATTGTTTGACTAGCAAGGAATTGGGTTAATACCTCCATAACAAGCTGAGTAGCCGGCGAGCTGGCGTTGTGGAA